TTAAAAATATCCAAGAAGATGAGATTTTACCTTCCATAGCATTCTCACGTAGCTCCACGTTAGAAAACAATGCTCCTTCTACTGTAAGTTTATCCAGTTCATCCTCATCTACAGGAAGATCACATCAAGAACATAAAGGTGAAACAAAAAAAATATTTACACCCTATGTTAAATGGCCCCATCAATTACAGTGACGTATGCATCCAAGATCTAACGCTTGGTATAAAAGGGCAATGCAAAGATGCTGGGCTTTTGAGCAAATAAAGGTAAGTCAAATGATCAAATATTTCATATTCACGTTTGGACTATCCACTCAAGACTATAGCATAGATCATAACTTCTTTAAACTAAGGACACAACAAGTGCTATACCTAGTTTGATAAACTTGTTTTTCCTCGGCCATATCTCTTCACAAAGGTCAGAAATTCGGCGCTGTATTTGGTATACGTCAACAGATGAAGGCAAAACTGGGTGTCCACCATATCTCCAGAGCAAAGACTTGCTTGAGTTCAAACACAAAGATAGGCTGTCATCCAGTTTTTCCATCTCAATCTACACAACAAAGATTAGGAAGACAAACCCAATAAAAGATAGATCCGAAAGGGAAAAAAAAAAAATTATAGAGATAATATAAAAGAAAAATTAGTAAAGTAAGTGAAGCAAACACAATAGTAAATGACCAAGGAGCTTGCCTCAAGTAGTTTGGCCTCTGCAGGACAAACACCCTGCAGTCTCATTGCATCTTTCATTAAAGATCGCCAAGAGATTAGACGCCGATCAATCTGAGATGAAGTAACACTATTCCAAAACAGTGTATGATGTTCTAAGAGATCACTGTATGACTTAAGAAGTACATCAAAAGTACATGATTCAACAAGCAAGTCAAGCACTTTTCCCTCCACCTTTCGTAGAGAAGTCAAAACAGGTATGAAAGGCTGAATTTTGGAATGATGACCATAACCATCCTCTACATTCCACTGTTGAAAGCTACGTCTCAATAGACCAACACACTTAATCAAGTTTCTTAGGACACGGCACAAATTTAAAACACCAACAGACTGGCATTCATCAACCAATTCCATTGTGAGTATAGGAAGAGACTTATCGATTGCTTTTTGGGACATAAGCTCATTGTGTAACTCAAATATTCTTGTCCAAATAGAATGTTGCAGCTCCTTCTTCAGCATATCAGAAAACACATTGAAGAATGAAACGAATGGCTGCAACCGAGAACCAAACCACTCAAACCAACAGATGTAGAACTGATAATCACTTTCAGTAGCCTGTTCAATGGCCCAATCAGCAGCAAAGGCAAGCTTTTTCTGGGCTAAAACCAAATCCAGATCATTATGGGCACCAAAGTTTTCAAGCAAGCCATTCGGATCTTTGGGATACATGAGTCCATGCAACAATGTAGCATCCATTAAATGAATCATCTTTGAGACTCCTGCCAGAGGAGTTTTTCCTTTTGGACCTCTGCTCAAGGTACTTCTAAACATATGTGATGCAATAAGAGATCCCATTGATTCCAAATACATTATACTTTGTCTAACACAAGTCTCTCTCGAGTGTAAAACATAACTCCTCAATTTCAGAGGGGCTGGCCAACCTCCTGGTAAACATAGCAAGAAATCTTCTGACAAAGTGAATCTATAAATTTCTGACGCTGATAAAAATGAAACCGAAGCTCGAGAAACTATGTCTTTTCCTTTTCCCTCACCAAAAGATGAAAGATATGTATGCTCCCAACTGATTTGGATGCTCCAGGCAGGCTGGTTGCCATTTTGAATCAGCCGTTGAAATAGCTGCACCCAGCGTGAAAGCTCAAGATATGTGATACTCACATCAAGAGAAGATCCTTCATGTTTAGCATAAATATGGGCTTTGGCCATCATATCAACCAACTTACCCACAGGAATTCCACAGAGGGCAATGAATCTCTTCACCTCTCTGAGCTCAATCTCATCCACATCGTTACAAAATACCGGGTCCATCATCCACCACGGGTGCATCAAATATATTTCCACTCCTCTGTTTCGCATCGCCCGAGATACTTCACCATAGCTAGGATTAACAGTGAGAAACATTCTAAATCTAGGATGGGGATGAACAATCACTGGGTTTCCTTCCACAGTTCCACACTCATTAATAGTAATAGATCCAGATTGCTCAACCAACGAATTAATCCTATCCAGAACCTGCATGAAAAAACAAAAGAGTGAAAAATGCATTAATATCCACAACATACAGATTCCAGGAAAAAAATAAAACGGAGTATCCTTGTAGAAATACAGACCGTTGGATTGCAGAGGTTTGCATTTTCGAGGACAATCCATTCTCCATTTTCGATGGCCTTGATCAGCAATCCAGTTACCCATTCAAATCTCACAGAGTGTTTCCGTTTTTGTTGATCTTCTTCCAACTTCCTTATCATGATGAGAGTTCGGTCGAGATCCTTCTGGGACCAAGACAAAGGCAATGCTTGTTGGTCAATGGCTACCTTTAGATTTTCAATAATATCTACCAGATGTGAAATGGAATCTCTCATCCTTGAGTCATCAATAAATGTTGCCGAACTATTTATGCCGGATAAGAAGGCAAGCCATCGAGAAGTAAGATCCTTCCTTCGAAGGAAGGCATCGAAAGAAAATTCCAGTTGCAAGTTGCCATACTCATTCATGTATCTTTCAACTTGAGCAATAGCAAGATGATAGTGACGGGAGGCATTATATTGCTCAAAGGATCCAAGAAGTTCGGATATATCAGTCGCAGACGAAAGATTCAGTTCATTTAGTACATTTCCAGTCAGCTCAGCTAGCAATCTTACCAACGATGTCTTCCCAGAAGATGGAGGACCAACCAATATGCACAACCACTGGTGCTTTACACACTGACTAACAGCTTCTAAGCAATGGCATAAGCCAGGCAGGATTTTGAGGTTATCACTGGACATACCAGAAGACTGACATAGATGCCTATCAATACTTACCTCACCAACAACCATTGAGTCGGGATTGAGCTTCACTCTAGGGTACGGATTTACAAATGGCTTCACTCCAAAGATTTCCTCATACAGTTTCAGAATTTCTTTCCTATCGGCCAAGGTACGCATCCTTTGCAGGTAAATAGAGCTTAAGAAACAGTCAGGATTTGACTTACCGGAGGCATCTGCAAAGAAACAACGAGTAAATAGATGAAGCCAACCAAAACAATATATTAGCATAATATCAGATGAACAGTCGAGACCTTGGATGATCTGGCAAGAACGGATAACGTCACGAAGATTAAACTCCCATGGCGAACCATCCTGACCAAATCTGTGATGCACCATAGTATCCTGGTGTAACCTCTTATTGAACACGACCAACTTCAGCAAGAGAGATTTTTCAATCGATGGAAATTGGAAGCTACATATAGATAGATAATCTTCATCTGCTAGCTCATCAATGTAGACCTGAAATAATAGGGATTTAAAAGGATATTTAGCGTAAACATGAACACAAACATCTGATCTTTATATGAACGTTGCATGCAACAGTCCTGAATACAGAGGTCATGCTATAAAGAGAGAGTTTAAGAACAATAGCTACCTTAGTAAACCTATTGAGGAAGGACTTGGGAAGGCCTTTCCGACCACCACCTTGGTAGGTTGGATTCTGGCATGCAAAAACTCTGAAAGATGATGGACACTTGAAAGAACAGCCCAGCTCAGGAATGAAAACTTCAGCTCGATGGTCCAAAATGGCATTTAAACCCTACATATATAATTTATTTAAATAGTCCATCTTGATGAGGTAATCAAATGAAATTCAAACTCTTTGATTACATTAACATCCCGGTAGAAGTAAAAATTGATGTAGTTAGACGCATAAATAAATTGTTGAACAATACAGGAAGGATTTCTGAGTGTACGATATTTTCTGTTTATCATGGAATGCAATGCGTATAGAAACAGTATATTCATTGAGTTTTTTCTCTGTAATCAAAAGAGTAACTATGTAAGAACTTAAAACATCTTGCTTAATTTCCCAAGAGTTTCTCTAGGAGATGAAACAGGGGTGGCAGCAAGGAATTGCAAATTATGTCAAAGGCATGAAATCAGAGAGGGCCTAAAAACAGACAGCTTTAAGTACCTCCAAAACAGATTGCGGTGCAAGGTTAAGTTCATCCAGCAGAACCCATGAACCCTTCTTTAAAGCCTGCGCAGCGAATACCATTCAGCAAGAGAAACTAAGAAAAAAGTAAGTGATAATTACCAAGACTACTCTCAAGTTTAGCCAATTACCAAAAAAAAATTAAAAGAACCCAGATATCTTAAAATTTACAAGCAAGAGCTTGCATATATTTTTTATTTAAAAAAATTGCACCAATTGAAAGGATAATTTGTAAAACAGACGCATATTTCGGGGGTATTGTCATTTTAAATCTAATTATTATTTTCATAATGATCCAAAAATACTGAAGAGAGACTAGCTTGCCTACCTGAAGTAGGATACCATCAGACCAAGCAAACTGTATTCCTTCATCACTTTCAACCGGCAAGTCTGATCCCAACAAATCCATGATATCCGTCTTCATAAAGAAAATTGATTTTAGAAGTTAAGTTATTTACTGAGAAGAAGAAATCCGCTATAAAGGAAACAATTCTGCAAAAAATTATAACAAACAAAGATTGCCCAACCTGCTCAGATAAGTTAATTCGTACAACTGTGTGTCCAGAGGATCTGCCAATTGCAGCGACTAAACTTGTTTTCCCAACACCCGGACTTCCTTCCAACAATACTGGCAAGCATGAAACCATAAATGTCATAGAGGTTACTCAATTATTCCGTATGAACTTAGGGCAGATAACAAGTTACCAGAGCACCACAAAACCATGTTTAACCAGGTCACAATGCGAATAAATAAGGAAGCGCAAAATATATTGAATTAACGACACCCATACCAGGCTTATTAAGCTGCATTGCACGCAGCACCCTCAAAGTATTCCTGCAAGTGGTAGGGGCTCGAAATTCAAAACCATCTCCACCAATAAAGTCGCTACCTGAACATAATCAATAAATCCATTTTAGGGACTAAAATAGAAATTTGCTAACATACTAACCGTGGGACCAGCAAATCAGCAATAGGGTTAAGAGCTACATTTGTCCCATCGATTAGTTACTGGCACTTATTACGCTAAGTGTAGGTTGGGCAGAGTCTCCCTTTTAGCTAAGCTTTTGGGGATGGGTTCTTTCTAAAGCCCATTTATTATGGTATCAGTTTCGGAGGCAGTGTTGGGTTCAGACCACCCAGCCCATTTGGATTGGCATGCTACGGATGGGGGCAGGTGTTAAGAAGCTATGGTTGTCCCAAATCAATTCAATTAGTTATCCGCCTTTGTGTATAAGTTCAGTTTCAGCACCATCTCCCTTTGAGCTAGCTTCAAGGAGTGAGTCCTACCCAGGCCCATTTAGCAAAAAGCAGCATACTTTCTACTAAAACGTAATTCTCACAGAACAAGATTTCGATCATTATGTAATATATAAAGTTTTCAGATATATATTATATACCAATGTTAAATTTTCTTCAAAAATAATAGCAACACGAAATCAAGTCGAGAATAGTATTCCCCCTATGTTGCAGATAATTCTTTAATACCTTTCTCAATATAGAATGGACGAATCCCAAAGAGATTGTCACACTCCATGTTATCAGCAGGATCTAGAACTGCCAAACTTCCAGGATCAGACCAACCATAAGACGCTAGTTCCTCAAGATTAGAAGAATCAAAACTTGGCTTGTGTTCCTGTATTAAGAAATCACATACAGATTACAATAATGAATTAATGGGAGCAATTCACACACACTTCCTGATCAATAAACTTTAGAAATTGTATAGGAACAATCAACAACTAAATGAAATGTCTCACGCCCATTCTCAGAATAGAAACTGGGAGGCAACATGAGGGTGATCCGTAAAAAATAAAATCATGAGGTCTGCTCAAATGAGTAGCAAGAATTTCTCTTGGACTTCAGACCCTCTAATTTTTATATTGGATTATTTCTAACAGAAGTGCAAAACAGAGTATATTTCCAGACCATTGCACAGAAAACAGACAACTACTAAAATTCATAAACACATCAGTGAATGGGAAAACAAATGCAAAAGGGTAATTTACACAAGAGGCAATTTATTATTTATGGTAGTGATATCAAAATATCAAATGTCGATTGAGAAAGGCTAAAAGCCATTTAATCTAATTTCTTTTATCCTCAAACAAACAATTGAGCAGTTATGTAAGACATTCACCTTGAGTTTCTCCAGCAGGAAAGAAAGGCATCTTAGCCTCATCTCTGCCGCTTCAGTTTTTGATATATTTGTACCTGCAGATAGGAAAGTTATGGGCTATGTAAATTATGCTAAAGAAACTTTACAGACAATAACAGAATAGATTGCTTAGGTAGATTTATAGCTAAAACAACTTAGAGCAGAGAAGAAACAATTAGAAAGAAACAACATAGATTCATCAATAGCTGCTTGTGCTACCCTGCTATTCCCACCTAGTATCTGTAAGTGTTCCACTAAGTCGACACAAGGAAAATGTGTGGTCCACTGATTGAACTAAGAGCCAACAATCAACAATAGTACATGAAGCCCGTGAAAAGAAAAGGAAGAAATTAACAAAGCATAACTGCACTGATTGAACTAAGAGCCAACAATCAACAATAGTACATGAAGCCCGTGAAAAGAAAAGGAAGAAATTAACAAAGCATAACTGCATAAGTTGTCGACAATCAAGAAGACATACCTAAGCTAAGGCCGTCAAGCAAAACAAGGAATGCCCCATGTACAAATGCAGATTCAGCCCCTAATCTTCTCTCCGTTGTGTTGATGAAGGATACCCAAGACAACAGATCTCTTATGGTAAGCAGTCTTCCTGTCTGTAAATTATTGAACCACTGCAGAGCAAGAAAAATATGTCATCAGGTAGAGCAGGAGTAAGACGAGAAGTAAAACCAAGAAAATTTCAAACAGATGCATGCAAGTATTAACTGAAACTAAGCAACACAAGGAAAACTTTTAAATAACTGAAAAGCTAGGATGAGAATCAATACTTCTAAAAATGTGATGATTTTGGTTAAATATCACAAGACAAAATGTTGTGATAAATTAAGATATTAGCATTTTAAGCCTTGATTGGGCAGCGTGCACTTAGGAGGTAAGATGTAGCACTCTTTAGTTTGGATAAAACTAAATCGGTACGCATTGAGAAATCAGCCTAACCACTTCACAGTGATCTTCAATGAATTGTCACTTAAAATATCACCATCAACAAATTGAACAACTTTCACTTGGAAAATAAAGAACGTTAGAAGTGTGATCAACAATTACTGTAACAAATAACATATGCTAATTCCAATAAGAATTTGAGCACTATACCTCCCAAAAATCTAGCATGGCATCTACAACGTGGGCAATTTCTGAGTTTGAAACTCTGCATTTAAAAGTCAGAGGACAAGCCATAAGAGATAATTCAATCACTTTATTATTTCATCAAACATGAAATTAATTTAGATATACCTACCTCTCAAGAGCAATACTTTTAAGCTCATTTATGTCGCCAACAGAAGGAACCCATATCTCTGTAAACCGATTGCGAAGGGCAGGGGAAAGTTCTTTCTTACCATAATCTCCACCAGGATTCATTGTGGCCAAGAGGAAAAAATTGCTATGAGCCATTATATTCTCAAGTTGAGAGCCTCCTTTCTCAGCCAATGACTGCAGATGTTGACAAGACCACACAAAGATAAGTATAAAAAAGTGTCACGAATCTATCAGTTATCCACTCAAATAGATGAGCACAGCATTCAGATTCACCTAATGAAGCAAATTCAAACAAACATCTATTAGTGAATACTCCGAGAGTAAGTGCACATGTTCTTGATTAGGACCAGATTTGAAGAGTAAGCTAGCATTGGATATAAGATTTTTCGTTTTATCTGTTCAGAGCAGATTTGTTTCATTGAAATTGAGAATGATACAAATTTTCCACAAAAAAATACTACCCGTTTCATCTCACTTTTTTCTTTAGTCTACTAACATAATTAAAAAATAAAAAATAATTATTATAATATATTTTCCAAAAAATTGTTCGTTCACTCACATATTTCTAACTACCAACCTTATCAATCATCGTTTTATTATTTTTATACCACAAACTTTAATCATTACATTCTCATCTTATATCCATTCACAATCTCAAATCTTAGGTTTTCAAAAAAAAAATTCCATTTTCTGATATCTTTTTTCAGACGGAACAAAAGTTTCCAAAAATTCCTATATCCAATCACAATCTAAATCTTTCCTTCAAATATGTGATAGATACCAAGCCTGATGCATTAACGAATGATTTAATATAAATTACTCACCAGTTTCCTTTCAGGTTCCAAAACACTGTTCAATCTTTCAAGAACACTGTCATCAGCTAAAGAGACCTCATCCACAAGAAACAAGTCACCGTTTTTCATGGCTTCAACAAGTGGACCATCTTGCCACATAAAAAGAGTCTGCCACTTCTTTTGAAGCTGACACAAATCCAGGTATACTTTCTCTAAATATTCAAGTTCATTCAGACCGACTTCTGGATGGGAAACGGAATGCTCTCTGTAACTCTTGATGATACTGGAGAGCATAGTAACAGTAGAAGATGCCTGATTGATGTCGACTGAAATTTTCTGCTTATCAAATCCATAAAATCGGAAAGAAAATTAGTTATAACAAAGGAGAAGCCAAGCAATAAAAAAACAAGGGGGAAAACATACAGCATCTCTGGGGAAGTGGATAAGAGCCTTCGACTGGGTCAACTTCTCACAAAGATTTTCAAAGTCTTTGCCAATTTTCGATCTATCACGAACAGGAAAAAAGCCCTGGCCAATGATTAAACACCAAAATTAATAGCTAGTACAAAATTGTAAGATCTCACGAAAACAAAGAGTTAATGATAACAGAAACAGACAAACGGAAATGAAAACTAAAAGGACGACGACAAACCCCGAGAAAATCAGATGTTTCTGTGTACTGATGGCAATTCAATACGTGTAATTTGGAGTTCAACATGATACTAAGCAATTGGCACACAGTTGTTTTCCCTCCACCAGTTTCTCCAACAAGGAGGACAGGCTCACGCATCTTATAACACCGCTCAACCAGAAAGTACATTCTCTGCAGAGTATTTGTCCAAATCACTCTGGGACAGAGAAAGCAGAAAACAAGTTAGAAATCCAAATACTCATGAAAGAGAGCTCACGCCAAAACCTGAGTAGATACTTACTTCCCAACGCTTCCTGAGCTCGATGTAAATTTATCTGGCGTCAATGCACTATCTCCAATTTTGCCTTCCTGAAAAACAATAAGATAAGAAACCTTTTAAGTATATCATATCATTTGATAGCCCAGAAGAAACAGCCAGCCATCACTTGATCTAAATATTAATTTTACTTCGCACTACTAAAGTACTGCATAAACAATTTTCTCATTGGCATTTTACTTCTGGAAGAAATTGAAAACTAGGGCGTACAAATGTACCGAATCAATTAAACTATCTAGCCAAAATGCAGGCCAAATAACTCATTTCCAACTATAGCTCTCGGCAGATTTAGAGGACTATCATTACCATATGCAGACAGGATCTTTTGGAGGAGAAACAAAAGGAAAAAGGGCCACTAAAATTAGTTGAAGAACCCTGTTTCATCTAATTGGAAACCTAAACCTGTCACTTATCATTCTTCCCCTACAAGTTTGGAGCCCAATTACATATGTTTGATGAATGCGTGTACAAATACAACAAAACAAGACCTTTGAAGTTTGTAATACCTTTTTGTATAAGTCATCAGCAGAAAACTTGATCCTTAGCTGTCTCTCCAGAACCTCTTTGACAATTTGCTTCTCAGTGTCATCACGCAGCCTTTCAGCCATTAAATAGTAACCATCATAACCTAGATCTTCATAGGAGTTACCAAATGCCCTAAACCTCTCAGCCCACCTAAACAAGTCGCGTGGCGTAATAAACCCATGTTTTCCAGCAAATATCTTACTACTCTGCCTGTGCATTTGCAACTCCTTCATGACATCAACCATTTTCTTCGCGTAACTTCCAGGAATTTTGCACCTCATTTCCAAAATCGTGCTCAACTCCTCTTGGGGGATTTCATCCACATGAATCTCCACAAAACGATTGCGGAATGCTCGAGAGAGCATCTTGCGACCCGCATAAACGACAGGTGGATTTTGGGTGGCAAACAACATAAAATCTGGATGAGCACGAATTGTCTCCCGTAATTCAGGAACGAAAAGCTCCCTATTATCATCAAGCAATCTATTCAATGCTTCGAGCACATCTGATGGAGCCAAGTTCAGTTCGTCAAGAACAACCCAATGGCCTTTGCGAACAGCTTTCACGAGTGCCCCCTCGTGGAAAACCAGCTTTCCACTCGAATCAGTAATGTAAGAACCAAGGTACTCCTGAAGATCAGTATGTTCGTGATTATTGATTCTTACAAATTCATGACCAGTTATTGCCGCTAGATACCTGACGAGACTAGTCTTCCCACTAGAGGTGGGTCCCTGCAACAAGACCGGATATCGTCCGATAAAAATCGCACGAGCAAGGTTTTTAAGCTGTTCCTTGACACTCTTTGTCAGGACATAGCTCTCTAAGATACTATCGTCTTTCGGGTGCCCTTTCAATAGGTACGAATCAAAAGAGAGTGGTGGAGGTGTTCCACCTCCCAACAAAAGCTTGCAGATAAGATTGTTCATTAACTTTGCGCTAACGTCGTCCAATGAATTCAGGAAGAACATACAAAATCCATCATAAAGAGATCTTTCAAATCCGAATCTCTTTTTCGCCTTCTTCAAATATTCCAACGCACGGTACAGGGACCGTAAACTATAATGAGGCCTCTGGTTAGCCCCATCCTGCAGTCTTTCTTCAGATTCCTTTGCTGCCTTATAAAACTGCACTATATTACTTATTATTCTTCTGAACATCGGGTCATCATCAATAAACTGATCAATGAACAAAACCAAGTCCTCGTCATTCAACACATCATCAACAAAGTATTCGGTAAATCTGCTCCTCAAAGAAATCGGTAAGTCCCTTTTACCAGCATCAGTCGCAGGGTTCATGCATGCAAACATGCGGAAGTTGGGATGCCTGCTAACATAATCAATATCCCCTCTTTCAGCCAAGCATATTGACCCTCTCTCATCTTCAAGGACCCCAATAACTCGCTGCAAGATCTCTGGAGGAGCCAAATTGACTTCATCTAGCAATATCCATTCGCCATTTTTCAAGGCAGTGATAAAAGCTCCTTCGAAAAATGAAAATACCATCCCATCCGATGCACTGATTTGTGAATGAGCCCTTTCAAGTTTCTTTGAGAAGTTTTCCCAAGCCTTCAGTAGGTCAGGACTTAAGGGTCTCTTTCGCTTCTTACCAGGACTGGATTTTCCTATTTCGACTATCTTCTGGAGGCCTCTCTGAAACCCACCTAATAACCTTTTCCAATTCTTTACGGCAAGAGATTTCCTTAAATCTACAAGGAATCTTTCATTGTCCTGAAAAAAAAAGACATCACAGTCAATACACGTTAACTAGAAGGAAACCGGTAGAAACAGCATACTTGATTTATAGAAAAACGGTACCTTTGACGAAAAGGTATTAGTGAATAGATTTTCAAACTCCTGATAAAGTGGAGCACAAACAAACCGTGCATCCATGGGTTTGAATCCACCTAACAGGTCAGCAGCATCACTTTGCTGACTCAAGTTCTGGACAGAAGCAACAGTTGCAGTCACCAATTGTACTCACTATATATCAAATTAAGAAATAAGAATATACCAATTTTAGGGTTCGAACATACCAAAACTGTAAGTTTCTGACCGAGCAACGTTGCAAGGGTCTGTACAAGAGTGGTCTTACCAGTACCCGTTTCACCAACCAACAATACAGGCTCATTAAACTTAACAGAACAAGCAATCCTCTCAAGAGCATGTACAGAAGCACGAAGTAAAACAAATGGCTTCCTCCCACGATTGGACTGTGGAAACAGAGCCAATGTTAATACAGGTAAATAAATAATAAATTGCTATTTTAAAGAACATGAGCCACAGAACAAGGATATCACAGATGCATCCACTCACATTCACTTCAGCATGTTGAAGGCTAGCACGTCCTACTTGAAGCTCAAACTTCGATTCCTGCACATACTCTCAAAGCTTACACGACTGACCCGAGCAGCATTAAGATACACCAAATGATAATTACTGCATTAAATACAAAGGGCAAAACCTTCATAATGGGCTTGTTAATGGGATACAATGTTTCAGCTGCTGGAACAGTCCACAATTTTGCAATTTCTCTCATGATAGCCAAGCGATTTCCAGCAGAAGTAGAAAAGGATGAAAATACATCTATGGCCTGCATGTCAAAAGCTTAAGTTCAATATGGAACACTTCACAAGACCATATTCCTCTAATAAGGAATTTAGAAAATTATGACACATAAATATAACCTCTTTACAGATATTCTCGCATGCAGAAGTAGAAAGATTGTCCTGTCCGAAACAAACGCCTGAAATTGCAACTCTTTTGCACAACTTGAGAAGATCCCTATTATTGCCGAGAAATTATTTAGCAAATACTCATTGCAAAAAAGGAAATGAGGAGCATTTACATGCAAAAAACTGTCTACCTTAGTGTAAATCTGTCGTGATAACTTGAAGATGCTGCTAATCCTAACTGGGATCTTATAAGCTGGTTCGCTCTTTCAAAGGTTTCTACAGAAAACCAGGAAACAGAATAGTGAACAATATACATTGTAAGAAGCTTAAGATACTCATGAAACAGTAAAACTAGGCAAACCTATAAGATTTTGTGCAAGATACTCCAACTCTGGATACCACTCCAGCACAATATGTTTCAAGTCCTGTTTACTGGGTGGGCCAATCATCACCTTCCGCCAAACAGCACCGAGTGAATTCCTACCTATAACCAGAAGACGGAATACAAAGACAAAAGGTATTATGTACTACACGAACAAAATAGAAGTTACATTATCATGGATTTTCTCGCAGTCTTGATGCATCACACTATTCATGGAGGCATAATCTCTAAATGAGGAATCATTTATTCAATTGAGAAGCTTCAAGGTGACTGTTCTATTAAGCAGCAACTGCACAGTATTTCATTATTAATGATGAGAGAATTACCTACTTCCTAAGTAGTTACTACCCCATGATAATGATGATGATGATAAATTTCTGTCAACCATATACCAGGAGTGCCAAAAAAAACATAATTGGTTCAAACGAAAACAGGAAACTATAAAGCATACTCCGATCGGCCTTGATTAGTTGTAATCAGGTATAGCGACTAAAGTTGAATAGCTGGTGAGTTGGAAAATCTTCCAGCAAACACCATTACAAATGAATGTACAAAGACAATCCAACAAAAAATTAAGGGGAGGAGAGGGG